TCCAGAAATGCTAGGAAGCAGTTCCACTCTATACGATCGCTCTGAGTCAGAGTGGACTTGATGGCTGTGGTCTACTTGGGTTCAAGGCAGTTTATAACTGTTGTTGGATACCATCAAGTCAGTTCCAATTCATAGCGACCCCTACATACAATAGAACAAAGCAAGACCCAAAGCCCATCTGTAGACAATTGGACACCCCTTTACAGGAGGGTCACAAGGAAGAGATGAGCCAGTCAGGATGCAGTATAGCACCTATGAGACATGCAACTTTCCTGTAGTTCTTTAATGTCTCCTCCCTCCCACTATCATGACCCCAATTCTACCTTACAAATCCAGCTAGACCAGAGCATGTACACGGGTACAGATCAGAGCTGGAAACACAGGGAATCCAGGACAGATAACCCCCTCAGGACCAATAAGGAGAGTAGCAATACCAAGAGGGTAAGGGTAAGGTGGGGGGAGAAAGGGGGAACTGATCACAATGATCTACATATAAACCCCTCCCAGGGGCATGGACAACAGAAAAGTGGGTGAAGGGAGACATTGGTCAGTGTAAGACAGAAAAAATTATAATTTATAAATTATCAAGGGTTCATTAGGGAGGGAAGGAAAAATGAGGAGCTGATACCAAGGGCTCAAGTAGAAAGAAAATGTTTTGAAAGTGACAATGGCAATAAATGTACAAATGTGCTTGACACATGGATGCATGTATGGATGGCAATAAGAGCTGTACGAGCCACCAATAAAATGATCACAAACAAACAAAGAGAAGAAAACACTGACCGGTCTGGTGCCATCCTCACATGGTTCTTATGTTTGATCCCATTGTTTCAAAACTCCAGAAGGCATATTGCAAGCAACAGGCAATTCCAAAGTCTAGAAAATTCAAAAGCAGGAATCGCTGAAAATGAGCCTGATAGTGTAGTGCAGTTTCAGGAAGTGCCAAAGCAAACGATGGCAGAGAATCAAGCCCAATGCCGTCGGGCTGCTTCCAGGCTCCTCGCAGACCTAAGTGGAGTCCCTAGACCACGCGGGAGCAGACAACATCATCATTCTCCTATGGGCCAGCCCCACTCCATACCCACAGAACCCCCTGTGCTCCTTACAGATCATGACACCAACACACACACACACACACACACACACACTGAATTTATTTAGATGCATAGCAATGCAAAGGACAGAACTGCCCTGCCCCTTTGGGTTTCTGAGATTGTGAGTCTTTATGGTAGCAGGGTTCACACTGCAGACCTTGGGGAGAGCAGCTCAGTGCATAGCCACTATGCCAGGATAACTCCCCAAAATAAAGGCCACAGAGCTAGAAATACCTGGGTTTGCTCTGCCTTTAGCTATCTGGGTGACCTTGGGCACCTTCAGTTTTTCCCGGGACAACAGACACATATGATGGCGTTGTTGTTGTTGTTGTTGTGTGCTGTCTAGTTGGCTCTGACTCACCTCTACCCCAGGTACAGCAGCACGAACCACTCCTGGTCCCGTGCCATCCTCACAGTGTTACGTTTGAGCCCATTGTTGTAGTCACTGTGTCAATCCATCTCCTTGAGGGTCTTCCTCTTTGTGGCTGACCCCCTCCCAAGCATGATGTCCCTTTTCTCCTGACAAGATGTCCAAGGCATGGTAATCACAGTATGAAATGAGATCATATTATGCACAGCACCTAGCAAGTGCATGCTGGGAAGTATGTTAAGTCTTCACAAATATCCATTTTCTTCCCACCTCTAGAGGAAATTTACTGCATCAAAAGCACAAATTGGCTTATTTCTTGTGAGATTCTAGTCATCTCTGAGGAATGATAAGTGTATTTGGCACCGTTTATAAAAGAAGAACAGGAACATGCTTTGCTCTCGTGCCAGGCTGTCCAGAGCAGGGCAGGGCTGGTCAGTAAGGGCTGATTGATAGCCATTGCATCTGGGCTCAGGCAAGGGTGCTCAAGATGATGAAATCTTGGCAAGTAGACTTCTCACCTCTCAGAATCCTGCATCACTCAGTGACCGATCAAAGGACAAGCTGAATACTTGGGAACACTGTAATAAGAACACTGGATTATTTTTGAATGATGTGTGCAGCATTAGTTAATATGACTACTTAGGAGTCCAAAGAGTCAGGACAATGGCACATCCATTTTTGCCCCCCAGAAAGCCATCCACAATCATCCACCGTGAAGCTGTAAGGTGTATTTGTGGGACCACCCTCCATCTTTCTGTTTGTCGCACTATGGTGACGTGTGCGTGGTTAAACAACACAGGAAACAGCTATTTCTGTTATCAGTAGGGTCCCCCTCTACGGACGGGTTACAGCAGAGCTTCCACACAAAGTCACCTTAGAAAGAAAACCCTGGTGCTCTGCTTCTGAAACGAAGACCCGACGGATCACAGAAGATTGTTTGAGACTTCCTCACCTTGGACATCAGGACATGTTGAAGACGTTAGGGAGACAGCAAAAGCAAAGGCAACCATCACAACGGACTCAGAAACACCAGCCATCCCGGGGATGGCGCAGCATCGGGTCACGCGTAACTCACGTGACTCAGAGCCAACTCAATGGCAACTACCACCACCACCAAATTAATCCAGATTCGGGCAGAGACCCGAGGCTTCTGGAGAGCTCCACGCTTGCTTTCTGCAGACTGAGAAGCCTGTGCGCCCTCTACTGCCCGCTTCCAGAAATGGTTTCACAACACCATAAATAGAACACTTTGTCTGTAATTAGATATTATCAAGTGACCTTCTGAAGGCTCATCCTCTAAAAATCAATAACTTTGTGGGGGGCTTTTTTGTTTGGTGTGTGTGTATTTGTACAGCTTTATTCTTTAATCAAGAAATCTGTCAAGATGCCATTTTTAATATGATCATGTCTGTAGGATCCCAAAGGTTCTAAAGGAATCAGCATTTGAGATTAATTAAATGGAATAAGGTAGCCTCCTAAAGCATTTAACTGAATTTTACATTTTATAACTTTATCATGTTGAAGGGTACTCAGGACCTCTCTGTACTATAGTCTTTTTTTTTTTTTAATCATTTTATTGGGGGCTC